AGAAGCAGAAATTCTTTGGCAGCCAGGGCACAGGTCTGACAATTCAACATATTGAAGAGACATCTGTTCTGAAGCAGTGATCACATATGTAAAATTTCCCCTACTTCGACTCTCGTCTCGTCTTTCCCTGAGTGAACAAATTACTGGGCAGCAGTACCACTCAGGCCACAGGGAGTACTGAGTCAACCTTCTTATATCAAGGAACATCTTCAGTTGGACAGAATGCAACTGCGGGTGATTCTCCCTCCTTATAAAATGACAGAAAAGCAGAGCTTAGGCAGAATAGAACTGCCGCTATGTAGCGAGCACAGATTCTTTCTCTTAGAAGTTCTCTAGAGAAGTCAAAGGCACCAGCTGAGTAGCAAGTATCTGAGGCCACCCTCTCCTGATCCAGAGAAACTCCATCCTTCCAGAAGCATTAACACGGCAACCTCAGGGACTTAAGGAGCACGCCTACTCTCTGAAGGCACAACACTGCCCCCTCCTGGTCAGAACCAGGCCCAGCTTCTCTTTGATAAGACGCCCACAGTCAACTTCGTAGGAAGCTTACACCTGAACCCACTAAGTGATAAGCCCACTTTTAGTAAGGACAGTGAACTAAAATTATGTCCTAAAACATTTCCGACTGTCTGGTATTAAAAGTTAGGGAGTCATTTGGCAGGGATGTTGTAAAGGGAATTTAAGTCACTTGGATTTGATCTCTAAGTTTCCTAAAAACCCTGAGGTCCAACATGTTCATGCATACTCAAATTATAATGGATTAGAGACCCACTCAAACAACAGGTTCCACTGGCTTTATATCTTCAAAGACTATTTACTGTTTGAGGCAAGAGTCAATGGGATGAATAAACTTAACCAGGCAACTGTGAGGATTTACCGAAGCATAATATTTTCATCAATTCAAAGACAACTTTTGTTTCTGTATTTTAACATTTCTGAAATCAAGATGTGCCTTACAACCACTGATGTGTCACAGTGTGAAGAGCATCTTATTTTTCTCTCAGTGGCACATCAACCAATGATGGTGTCTTACAGCTGACGACTGCTGGGACTCAGTGAAATGCAGTACCTTAAAACCTGGGCTATAATACCAAAAGCGATTTTCTTTTTTTTACCTTAAGAAAAGAGAACTGAATAACAGTAATACTCAAACAACGCAAAATTCCAAAAAGAGGGCTCAGCGAGTACATCATTCACAGATGTCAAGAAGTCTGCAGAAGAATTTGGCCAAATTAAAATTTTAAGCCTCTATATACCAAAAAGATACCATAAACTTCAGAAAATACTGCAACAAATAAAAGGTTAGTAAGCCTGGTATAGAGAGAGCACTCTTTGAATTAGCAAAAAAACAAAAAAACAAAAAACCCAGAAACATACAAACAATGAAGAAAAAGCATGACTATGTTTTCACAGAATATAAATGGCCAACAAATGTGTGAAAAAATTGTCCATCTTATTAGTAATCAAATAAGCAGTAACATTAAAGTGTTATTTTTAACAATGAAATTAGATTTCAAAAAGAAATATTAAGTTGATCCATATAAAATTGTTTTTATAGGTCAAAATGATTGACTATTGACAATCTCACATGGCTCAACCTAACACCTAGGACTGGAGAAGGAAAATCAATATTGTCATGTGCTGCTGGAGGATATGTAAACGGAACCACTCTCCCTGAATGACAATTTGGAAACGTGTCTCAAGTCTCTGAAACGTTCATATACTTTAACCCAGTAATCGTATTTCTAGTAATCTATTCTAAAACAAACACATATATTGATTTTTTTTTTTGCGAAGACTTTTTAAAATAGGTACTGAGTATTTGTGAAATGTTCAATATAGGACTTAAGTAAATAAGTGACAGTTCATCAAAATCTGTAAGTAGGCTGCTCTCCAGCCATTAAAAATATGTATTCAAATAATATTTAAGGATACAGGATCGCGATCATGTTACAATGGTAGGTAAAAATATCAGAGAATAAAATAAAAGGCAGTTTGGAAGTTCCTCAAAAAGATAAACACAGAATTACCAGCCACTCAGCAATTCCATTCCTAGGTAGTAGATACCCACAAGAACTGAAATCAGGGACTCAGACAGACACTTGTATGCCGGTATCCACAGCAGCATTACTCACAACAGCCAAAAGGTGGAAACAATGCAAGTGTCCACCAACAGACAAATGGACAAACAGAACGCAGTGTGTATACATGTATACACAATGGAATATGATTCAGCCATAAAAACGAATGAAGTTCTGACGCATATGGATGAACCTTGAAAACATTATGCTAAGTGAAATGAGCCAGGCATAAAGGGACAAATATTGTATGATTCCACAATTTGAGATATCTAGAATAGGTAAATTCATAGACACAAAAAGCAAATTCGAGGTTACCAGGGGTTGAGGGAAGGAGGGCAGGGGAATTATTGCCTAATGGTTACAGAGTTTGTTTGCAGTGATGAAAAGATTTTGGAAATAGTGATGGTTGTGCAACACTTTGAATGTAATTAATGCCACTGAATTGTATACTACACAATGATTAAGATGGCAAATTTTATGTTATATATATTTTTTATCACCAAAAAAAAAAAAGGAGGGGGAAGGGGAACTGTTATAGAATTAAAGAGATGTAAGACAAAAAGATCAAACACAGTATGTGGACCTTATATGGATCCTAATTCAAAGAAAACAACTATGAAAAGGAAAGAATTATGTAATCAAGAAATATTTAAGGATACAGGGTCATGCTCATGTCACAATGTTAAGTAAAATTAACAGCACAAAATGAAATGCACATTACCACCCCAATGAGGGCCCAGACACTTGAGCTTTTTAAAAAAGCCCCACAAGTATTTCCCATGCACTGTCCAGGTGGAGAACTACTATTCCAATCAGTCCACAGATGTACTGAGCATGGTGAAGGATACAAAGATGTTTAAGACACCTTATAAGGATGTCTTACTTGCAATGAACTTAAATCTAGCTGAAAAGACATTCCTGTATATTTTTTAGGGTCCAGCAATCACTCTGAGCTCAGAGAGGCAGAAACTGCCCAGAGCAGAACGCTCAGGAAAGGTCCCTGGAGGATGTGGGACTTGGACTGGGTCTCTGAGGGAGGGAACAGTAAGCAGAGATCAGAAAACCCATGATGAGTCTGTCAGACGCAGGCAGGTGAGTCCAGTAGAAGGAAACGATCTGCGTGAGGAAGGTCCTAAGTCTGGGGTTACTCCCTGAAGGCCCTGGACATCATATCAAGGTATCTAAACTAGACCTGACCTCCGAGGTAATGGTGACATATTTTATTTTAGTTTTTAAGCAACCAGGTAACACAGTCAAAGCAATGTTTTGAGTTCAAGACATATCTGTGGGGAGAAAGCAAGGAGACAAGGAGACAAGGCAGGAGGTCATGGTGAGAGTCAAATGTGAGGGGCAGGACAAGGATGCTGGTGGTGGACCCTGCGGGAGGGCACCGTGGCGCCTAGTGGAGGTGGGACTGGGGAGGAAGAGACCCACGGCTGGGAGGTTCCAGGTCTGGGTAACAGGAGAATGACAGGAAGGAGTGATGAAAAATAATCAAGTCTAGAACAAAGACACGGTTGTTCCCAACTCGCCTCTGCTTCTCTCAGTAAGTACTTACTGGTGGCCAAGTCCACACTGGGCACTGACCAGGCTGACTGAAGACAGTTTTGGTGAGGAGTCTCAGTTTACATTCGTACTTGAAATGACAGCAGAATAATCAATAATCACCTCAGATTAATCACTCCAGAGGCTGGAGACAAGTGTTCCAAAGATGCGAACCAGAGATACAGACCGGAGGGTCATCAACCCAGAGGTGACGACAGAAACTGAGCATGGTTACGATTTCCGTGGGAGAAAGTCAGAGTACCTAAGCGAAAGCTCGGGGAATGTTATTACTTAAGACACAACAGAAACTAGTGGGGTCCCAAGAGGCAGAGGAATATCAAGAAATATAGGGAAAAAAAACAGACTAGCATAGCCGCTCAGAAGCAAAGGGAAGAGGGAACAAAAAGCAAGTGGTCAATAGCTCCAAATGCTATAGAAAGATGAAGGAAGACAAAGAGGAAGGAAAGGTTATGGTAAACTCGGGAAAGACAGGTATCTGTGCCGTCTGAGGGCTGGAGGGAAAGAGCTCATAGAAGAGGAAGGTTGAAAAAAGCTCAAAGAGAACAGACAGGAGAGCATGACCCCAAAACAGGGAAGAGGAGTCCAAATGAGAGCTTAGCCTGGGGACGGAAGACAGGAGAGACGTGCAATCGGCATTTCTTGAAAGAAAGACATTAGGATGTATATGAATATAGAGATATTCTCATGGGAAAAGAACCTGAGCTGTCAAGTTTCAACTATATACTAAAAGGAACTGTATGAATGATGTAAATATCTACTTATCTCCAAATGCCATCTTAAGAAATTTCAACAGCATATTTTTTAAAAGCTAATAAAAGCTTTTTAAAAAAGTTGGCATTTGAATTTCTCCACAACTATCAAAGCAGTAACAGGGTGGAGCAGAAAGAAAAAGGACTTTGAGCTGGATGGGTTCCAGTCTAGTTCTGCCTCTTACAATCCAACTTTAGGCAAGTCACAGTCTCTCTGAGCCTCACGCCCAGCTCTCCCCACTGCACGGGCTGTTATGAGGACAAATGGAGTGAAAAACAAAGACCTGCCCAAATGTCAACATCCATTCACTCATTTATTCAGCACTCAGAACACAATTATTGAACATTTCTGATGTTCAAGTAGGCAGGTACCAACAAGCACCGACAAGTGAACGCAACACAGCCGCTGCCTTCCAGCATGCCGCAGGATGGAGACAATGAAGAGGCCACTTTCAGGGGTTAAGTGATCAAAAGGCACGTAAAGGAGGGAGACAGAAGCCCTTTAGTAGGTAAGATTTGGCCCTGTTTTTTAAAAAAAGGTCTTGGAGCCAGGAAGAAATACCTATGATGCTTCATTTCACATAAACCCTAGGGGACCACTCACCTCTGCTATCAACAGCAAAGTGTCTTCCTTGAAGCTGAACCCTTTCATTTTATCTTCAATTTCCTGCTGAGTCCTTAAGTTCCTCTCCAAAGCAAACGATGTTTGCTGAGTCTGGGCGAACTGAAGCAAAAGCCTGAAAAACGGAGAAGTCCCAATTGTGTAGCAGCAGTGAGGACATTTTCACGTACAGCACAGGAACTGGGCTGGATGTGAGTCCTACCTGGCTAAAAAGGAGGTGCTCACCCTCATTCGAATCCCTAAAGCTCCTTACTCTCAATAAATTGCCCGACTTTACACCGGGGAGTCATCTTTTCTAAAATTCGTAGACCAAAGCTTCTCAAAGAAATCTTTAGAGGGCAAAATCTCAAAAGGGCTCCCTGTAGAAGTCAAGTGACTGAAAGTCACAAAAAATTTGGAGTGAAAAGTTAAACCCCCTAATCAAAGGTTTCTCCCCGGAAGAGATGGGATGCATCCCTTTGAAGCCAGTGCTCTATGACCCTTCTGTCTCCCTGAACTCACAGCAACTTGACCTCAAGGACTAATGAGACTCCCAGGCACGCTTCAATTATCCAAAGCAGGTCCAAACCTTCGATGACCCTCTAATGACCACTCCGCAAGTGGCTCACCACTACCTTTCCCACCAGAATCACAGCCTGCTCTCCTTTCTTCTCCTCCCACCGCCCCTTCTCTTCATGGTTTTCTAAAATGCTGAATGTGTAGATTCTCTCAGTTTCCCTCAGGCCTCGCTGGTCCCTACTACTACTCCCAGAAGCACTCAGCACTCCTGCTCAGTCATTTCCTGACTTGAGGAATGCACCACATACTACTCTGGGTCTTGGGAGACATCGGTGAGCAAAACAACCAGGTTCCTGCCTCGAGGAACAGAAAGAGAGTGGTCACAAGTAAACCAGATACCTCAGGCAGTGGTGCATGCTCTGAAACAAAAATTCAGGACAGGCTGGACGAAGTGTGTGCAGAGAGGGCAGTGACGGAAGGCTTTTCTGAGACACCACTCAAGCGAAGACTCAAACTGTGAGGAGACACCAAGGGATAGCTGGGGGAAGAGGGCTTGCCAAGGGGAAGGGAGCCGTGACACAAGAACGAGCTTGACGGCTCTGAAAACCAGGAAGATCTCTGTGGCCAGAACACAGCCAAGAAGAAACAAACTGCAGTAAGAGAGGAGAAAAAGACAGGCAGGGAGAATTCACCTAAGACCGCACAGGCCACAGAAGGAAACGTGGTGCTCACGTGTGCGCAATGGGAAACCACTGGGGAGTTTTGCAGAAGAGCACGACCTGACTGGCTTCACTCTGTTTCCCTCTAACCTGTTCACACACCTGCCTGGCCTCTGGAAGCTTTTACACGTGTGACCCCTTTACATCCGTGCTCCCCCTCTTGCTCCTGAAATTACTTGAAAATACAGCTTGTCCTCGCTCCCTCTGGTTCATGTTCTTTCACGCCTCAGTCCTGTGCAGTCTGCCATGTCACCTCACCCCTACCAAAACTGCCTCCTCTAAGGTCACAATGACCTCTGAGCATTCAAAGCCTCTTCTCACTGATGGCTGATCTCCTTCCTGGAGCTCCCTAATCTCTGCCTCCCTTCTTCTGAGCTCAGCTCCCACTTCCTAATGGAAAGCTCCAGCTGGATCTCCCCCCTAAATCCACTCTGCTCCTCCCCCAGCATCCTGTCTCAATGGAGGCACCACCATCCACCCCCAAGGTGGACTCCTCAGAGCTGTCTCTGACTCCTCTGCTTTCTCCCTCAACCCGTCCTACCCACACACCTCGTTCCATCCTGTCTGTTCCATCCTGTGTGCCGTCCATTCCCTCTTTTTATTTTCACCGCGCTATCCCAGGTCAGGTCCTCAGCACCAGCCACGATTCCACAGCTCCTTTGCTGGTGTCCCTAGATCCAAACTCCCTCTTCTAATACATCCTCCCAGCCACGCACTCTCTCTCTCTCAGTCACAGCTCTTGTCACACCACTTCAACATTCAACACCTTCAAGCTCTCTTCAGGCCTCAGCATAAGGACCAAACTCCTTAAGACGCCATTTAACGCCTTATGCTAATGAAGACAAAACAACACAAATACAACATTCACCAAATGCTCACCGGATGCGGTGCACTACAATCAGTGCTGCAGATACTTTAATGCTCACAACCCTACAAAGTAGGCATTTCCCCCATTTCTCCACCAGAGGTCAAGGTATGGAAACTGAAGATGGAGTTTCTGTAATTTGCACAAGGTCAGAGGGCAAGCAAGCGCAAAAGTCCAGTCTCATTCTCTCAGTAACAACAATTTATTAGATTCTTTAAAATGGGATCGGACTCCGAGGTCCTGCCTCCTTCATACAATGCCATCCTGGCCTCGTGGTCCAGGGCGCACCTCTTGGGCCCCTGCCACCAAGGCTGCTCTCACCACACCAGACTGTGTGACAGCACCGTGCCACACCGGCCCTTCCACCCCTTGTGCTTTCTTTCCCGTTGCTGCACATGCCTCTTCTCATCTGGGGACACTCCACAGAGGCAGTAAAATATCCCGGCTCGAACGAGTCAGAGACCAGGGTCCAATCCTGACAGAATTTCACAGCTGTGCCACCTTGGGCGTGATTCCAAATCAGCTTCCCAGTCTGTATGGTGGGATCCCAACACCTACCCCAGCAAGTAGCAGGGGTTAAAACGGAAGAGTGGCTACACAGCATCTGTGACACACTTATCCACACAGCTGACCACGCCCCCAGGAACGTGCAGCGGGAGCACCGCTCCCTCCGCGAAGGCCTCCTTCCTCCTGCCACTCTGCACTGCCCCGTGTACCGGCCCCCGCAGAGCTCTGCTGCCACTGACACACTGCTGACACAGCCCAGGCAGTCGTGTAAGGAAAGGGACCACAGCGATCTTTATGATCCCAGCACATGCCTGGCTCACAGCTGTCCATCAGTGCACTTCAGAACTGAAGTGAGCAGGTGATGCTGATAAACACCTTCTGAGTAAAGTCTGAAATGCACCAAATAGACACCGCTTTTCAGCAAGCCTCACTGTTAACCAGTATTTCTTGAACTCTCCAAAGTTTAAAAACAAACCCAACTCCAGGTTTTCTGGCATCATTTGAGACCCAAGAGAGTCTTTTTTTCTCAAGAATTACCAAATTGGTTGAGTATATTCTCACTTTTTCTTTAAACTTGTATACACTATGGATTCAAAGTATCTGGAGTCCCTAAACCATGGGAATTCCCGGTAGAATAAATTTAACATTGTTTATTTGCATTATCAATAGTGATCGGAACACAAGAGCAGATTTTCTTCTTTAGCAGCTTTCTGTGGTATGTGAGTGAAAAATTCCTTGTTTCAAATACCTCTTCCCCCTTTGTCAATTTTTTTTTTTTTAATGGCGATAGTGGGGATTGAACCCAAGACCTTGAGCATGCTAAGCATGCACTCTGACCTATATACTCCCCACCCTGGGTCAATGATTTATATTTTATACATTTAATTTTTCCTCTAATTTTAACATCTGCCAATTTTAACATTTTATCTTGAGTGATAATACAGGCTGTATTCTTGAACAGTTTTGTTTTTAATTCCTACAAGCTAAAAGAACACATTCAATGGATTTCATCCAGACCATGGGAAAAATCTCAAAAACATGTATCAATTATCTAGCCTGGAATTTTTAGAAGCTTAAAATTAGAAAAACCTTTACTCTGAGCTTAGCCCCACGTGTGTTTAATCCACTCTCAGTTTACCTGGTTCGTACATAAGAGGCACAGGCCTTCATCTGAGTCTCCAGCAACACGGCTGCTCTCTCTTCTGCCATACAGCTCTGAATATTTTTAAGAGCTTTCTCATTCTTCTGGTTATTACCGCTGCTTGCTTCCATAGAAAACACAGATCTCTCGGGCAACGTTTCAGAGAAACACAAAAGACAGTCTTTTCCTGAGTGGGGAAAGGAGGATTTGATAGTCTTGTCACTCGAGGTGAAATTGTTCTGTTTCTGAGATGACGCAAACGATGCTGAAAGCACTGGCTCCAGATTCAGGTAAGCCTCTGCCAATTTGCCCCAGTTCCAAGGATTAAAGGGATGCAAAGAAATCAGTTTCTGTAGGCAGAAAATTGTTTTCTCCAAGTTCTGCAAACTTGAACAAATAGCAAACTGGAGGTACAGCACAGTGGTTAAATGGTCTGTGTTAGTTGCCTTATTTTCCTAAGGGGAAAAAAAAAGGTTAAAAAGTTTAAACTACAGAATGTTTCCCATATAAAAATGAAGATGCCTAAAAATCCAAGTTGTGCATGTTGTAATTAGAAGTATCTTTTAGCAGCCACACAAGTAGAGTGAACTAAATATTTTTCAACAGAACATTAGTTTGTAACCATAAACCTAGGGAAATGTAGACTACCTAACAAAATAATCACTAGTCATTCCCAAACACCCTAATGTCACGACAGTAACATAATTCAGGTGACAGCGGTCTGGCAAAGTTCAGCACCAAAAACCTCTACATCCATTTATGTTCAGTTCGTATTACAATCTTTATTGTCTTCAGCCAAATACTCTGAAAGAGCCAAGCCAACTTTTTTATACCTTGGGCTAATGGTTCCATTTTAATATTCTAGGCTTTCTAAAAGTCCAAACGGTAATTTCCTTGAGGATTCAAATGGACTCTATTTCCAAATTTTACTTGGCTTAGACATCTTAAAACAGGATGGCCCTGAAGCGCTCAGTGTTTCACGATGCACCATAATTGAATCCAAATGCCTTCTCTGGGGACTACTACCAAGGCCAATTATTTTTGGCCAGAGGGGGTTTCTTGGTTTCCTTCTGATCAGAAAATCCTTTTCAAGTTGCCTCAACCAGAGCCACCATCTCCTGCCTAAATTGCCATATGGCAAAAGCCCTGTGGGTTAGGGAAGACAAGCGGCTTTTTATAAAGTTACAGTCTGCAGAGATTTGGTTGATTTTAAGTCTAAGGAAAACCTGGCCACCTAGTATCCAGATCAAGCCCCTGCACAGAACTAAGCAAGAAATACGTGTAAAACTACCCAGTTAGGCAGCCCAAAAACACTGGCAGACCAGTGAGTGAGAGGTGGAGGAGGATTCTGTACACAGTGAAGAGACAGGAAATAAAGCACAGTGTAACCCATTCGTCACACTGCTCCTTCCCGGGGACAGAACTTCCCTAGTTTTATTACCACTATTGTTCAATATTCTGTCCTTCCCCACACAACATTCAATTCCAAAAGGGTTTTTGTTCAATGCTAAATTCCATTTTATTGAGTTTGTGTGCTTTTCCAGAGTATCACACGCGACTCCTTCTGCAATGCGAGGATGATGGAGACCGTTAACGCTGATAAGAGCGCTTACCACATGCCAGGCACTATTCTAGTGCTTTACTCATTTAATCCTCATGACAATCCTTTAAAATAGATTCTATCACTATCCCCATTTTACAGATGAGGCAACTGAGTCACAAGAGAGAAGTCAGATGACTTGCCTGGCATCACACAGCTACCAAGCGGCACAGCTACAGTCAGTTGCACCAGAAGTCACAGATTAAAAGTACTTGAGAAGAGCTGACGCCCGTTAGCTGGCTTAGGATTCTCCCACTAGACACAAGATGAGCAATGCGTGTGTGAAAATACGGTTTATCCATCTCATTAGCCCTGAATCCAGAACCAGGCACATGGTAGCTCTGAAATAAATGTTTGCTGCCTGCATAAATGAAAAAAAAAAGTCATTTACTGTCTATTTATTTATTAATTTTAAATTTTTTTTTTAAATGGAGGTACTGGGGATTGAACTCAGGACCTCACACATGCTAAGCATGCGCTCTACCACTGAGCCATACCCTCCCCCTATTTTTTTTTTTTAAAGGAGGTAATTAGGTTTACTTATTTACTTGACGGAGGTACCAGGAATTGAACCCAGGACCTCGATGCATGCTAAGCATGCACCCTGCCTATTGAGCTATACCCTTCCTCATTGTCAAAAAGCAATTTCCTTGCCAGTTTATCATAGGATCGTATCAGCCACTACAAGATGTTTCAATTATTTGTTTAAGAAATAAGTTCTATTACAAATTTTATATAAAAATCATTCAGAAGAGAGATGAATAAACTTCAGTAGAAGCTGTGAGCATAAAATGTTCAATCCTGACAGGCACTCCAGGGCTAGCTGTCTTTTTTTTTCAGTGCTGTGTATGGATCTGTCCCCCTACAGAACGTCAGGGGACAATAACCACTTGGACAGACATGACCCGGAGCTAACAATGAAAGAAGAGGGCCTAGAAGTAGGGAAGAAAATTTTAAAAGAAAACAAAACACAGGGTACCAGGAAATGAGAAAAACTTGCAAATAGGCAGGGTCCACTGAAATCACGTGAAGAGACCCAAAGAAAGGGGTGAGACCCACCAGCCTATACTGCCACCTCCTTCCCCAACAGTCCTCCCCCACAGGCTGCCTGGAAGCCCGATGGACACCTCCACGTCCTGACAGAGGAGCTGAAGGTCGTCTGACTGTCCATCCTCCTGCGTGGTAACCATCTCCAGCTCTGGAGACCTGGCATCCTCTTACTGGCAACGCATCTTTCTCTGAGCCACAGAAACAGACTCACTAAGCTAGAAGGAACCAGAGACAATCCAGCCCCTGACACTAATCCTGCTGCCACTGCCTTCAGTGGTCTAGGCAGGGAAGAGGAAGCACAAGAGTGACGTGTAGGAGAGGCGGGGAGAGAGCGAACGAGAGGACGGAACAGCAGTGAAGGACAGGGACCGACGTCGAGAAGAAGCAATGGAAGGAACCAAAGCTGCTGTTAATTTGCACACCAAGGAGACTGAGAATGAACACTGTTAAATCCCACCAAGGTCACAGCTCATGCCATGTGCTTCCTTCACAGAGTAATCATCCTCCAGCTTAAGAATTCACCCACAGTAGAGGGAAGGGGGAGAAAGAGCAAAACACAGCTATTTTCCATGTTCTGAAGACAATTACTGCCAAGCTTTCCTCTCACTGCAAGAGGCTAAGGGCCCATGCAAGCAACCCCTTGGCAAGCAACTTTCGGGATTTCTCTTAGTTAGTGAGACAGTGGAGGACGGCTCAACTGGATGCATACTTCAGGCTGACCTCTGGTCGAGGAGATCCACAGGGCTCAAGACCAGTGCCTTGGTGCCTCATTAAGTCTCTCTGAAGAAGAAAACTGGTCATCTATTAACTAGGACTGGGCAACTTAGACCAATCTGCATATAAAATTTACACAAAAAAACACAGGTGCTTTAATCTGAAAACAAAAACAAGCAGAATCTAGAATCACAAAGAACTGCTTTTCTCATTTCTTAACAAAATTCTGCAGATTCCATTTAAGAATAAAAAGGATTAAGCTAGGCTTAGTATGATATTTAAGCCATTTTGGGGAAAACTTTTTTCCTGTTTACACAAGTAGTATATATGTTCACTGTAGAAATTTTGGAAAATAAAATCTAAAAAGAAACAAAAACCTAAAGAAGAAAATAGATCACTGATAATTCTCTCACTCTGAGTACTTGCTCCTAACAAGGGTGAAACACTTTGCAAGTGAGATTTTCAGACAATGAATTCTGAGCATAACATAGGAAAAAATATTACAAGGAAATGATGTCTAGAGCTCCAAACTGTTCATCATAATAAAATTCTTCCACCACTGACAATTTTCTTCCCGCTTTTCCAAACCCACAGATTTTGCTTCAAGTTGTTGTTTTGTTTTTTTTAGAAAATAAACTATTCAGTTATCCTAGGAAAGCAAATGAAAATAAGCACTGAAACCACTCACCAAGTTTGCAGCGATCTCTAGTGCTTCCTCGTGCCTTCCCAGGTGGACAAGACACCGAGCCTGGCCTTCCTGGACATCCCTTTTCATGGCAAAATTTGTAGATGGCAGTTTTTCTGAGATACTGGAATATTCCTGCAGTGCTTTCTGGCAGAGATTTGTTAAATACAGGAAAATGAAGAGAAGGGATTAAAAAAAGAAGGTGGGAAACACAGTAGAAAAAGAATTCAGTTATGGGGTGATTTTTTTCCTAGGCAGAAGGTAGTTATAATTGACCCTACAGTGAACTAAAGAAGACTTGAGTATTTCAGTCGGTATTATTTTTCTAAAAGGCTGGAGAATACAACTACAGCATTTTTGGAGCCAAACAGACCAGGAACCTGATCCTGGTTTTGCCACTAACTTGCTGTATAACCTTTTCATCTGCAAAGTAACAAAAGGACCCTTGTGAAGATGACCTGCGGTCTGTACGCTCAGGCCTCTCAAAATAGCCATTCTCTTGCTCTCTGTACATCCCCTGTTCACCCAGGCCCTACTCCACTCACAGGACCATCCAATCCTCTTAATTACAGGGCCTATCGGTCCCTGGTAACCGATGAGCCCACATGACGTCAATTCCCCCATATAAATGGTAGTCTCCTTCTCCCCCGAGTAGCCAAGATTGCTGCCAAGTCTGTCTGCTGTACACGGTGGGGTGTGGCTGCAGGAACCTTTGTGCAAGATCCGCTGTCCAATAAGCCACCCCTGCCTCTGTTGCTGTCTCCGGGCTCTTTCTTCAGTCTCGAGGCTGGACAATTACAAGGCTCGTAGGCCTGTGGGGTGCAGCCCAACAGGTCTCTATAAAAAAAAAGCCGGTATCGAGTTGCTCCCTCTTCCCATTTCTTACACACTCTGGGATGCTTTGCTCCTGTGGCCCCGTGAGGTGTCTGTGCTAGAGGCTCCCACATAACAAGGAGATGTAGAACCTGGGGAAACAGAGCTACAAGGATCCCAACAAGATCCCTATATTGGAATTACAGGAGACAAATTACCTAAAGCCATACAGACAAGGCCAGAAGCCTGGGCTTCTAAGATTACAAGCACATATCACAAAAGATTAAACTCATCTTCATAAACACACTCGTAACTTAGTGCACTATTTAAATATGCTGTAACACGTTAGAACAAGAGCCCATTTCAAGTGGTCCACTCTTCTGTATGTTGAATTCTACCTGATACTCTCGCCGTCTGTAGGCCAGGTCCCCTTTGAATTTCTGGACAGTTAGAGCTTCAACATCGTCACTGCTCCCGGTTTCTTCATAAAACCACTAGAAATTATGAAAATAGCATATTACAGAGAATGAAGCTATGCTTTTCAATTATGAAATTCCAGAAGCAATTTCCCATACATAATTGATTAAAGCTCAAAAAAGACATACTTCTTGAGGATAAGACTCAGGAAAATACCTGACAAAGAAGAATGACAATTTTAATGGTGGTCCAGTTTTTATCAAAAATATCACAATTATACACCTCTTAACTAAAAAATGACAAAAGTATATGGTTTTATCCACAGCATTTTCAATTGGGGTTGTGGTGCCTAGAAACCTACACTTTACTAGCACAGTTCACAATGGTTCTCTAGACTGAGATATGTTTTCTTGCACAGAAATTTTTAGGGTGGATGGAATAGGGATTGACAACTCTTTATGGAAAGGACATAGGAAGGAACTGTAATAGTGCTATTATGAAAGTGTCAAAGCTCAAAGTAGAATCTAAGCTAAGAGGAAACGGAAATTAAGGCTGAAAGAAGGCTTCGGTGCAATCAAAAGCCAAAGTGCTGTAGGAGAAAAGTGTAAAGAAAGGCCTATTTGGAATATTTCATTCGCTTTTCGTATGGGTAGAAGAAAAAGTGAAACTGAGGGTTTTTTTTAATTATTGCGTAAAGAGCATTAAGATGAGAAAATGGCGATGACGAAAAGCACTCCATGTGTTATTTTTCTAGCCCATTTCATCCTCCCTTTTACTCAGCAAAACACACTGAGGCTGAGTGAAGTCTACTCCCAGCTGGGCTACTGCTGATTCAAAGGTAACTGCATTTGTGACGGTTCTACCATCACGTCAAAATTTCTTGGTTCTAATTTTTAAGGAATTGCCTGGGTATCACTGCCTCCTCATTATCTTAGTACTATAATAGTTCCCCTCCTTAGCCTGACCCACAGTGGAGACAGCTAGCAACCACTGTTCTGTTCTCCCTGAAGTGCTGTGTAACTCAACAACAGTCTACATACCGAACCCACAATTTCCCTTTGTACTTTATGCCCTCCAGTCACACAGTATATATTAGGTTATCAGCCAATCCCAACTTCTTGAACAGTAACTGCATAACTGCAAACCTCCATCCAATTTTTATTATCCCACTGGGAAATGATCAAGCAAAACTGGCATGTGTTCAGATGGAGATGGCTTCAAATACCTTCTGAGAAGAAGCAGGGAAAAGCTGTGAACAAGGGTGAGTCTAAGGTAAAGTGCTGATAAGGCAAACACCTGGTCCCACTGGGAGTAGACAGGGAGAATAAACCTTCTGACCCAAACTCCGGGTTTTACACTGGGGGAAACCAAGAGGACTTGAATGAGACCTGAGTTATGAGCAAATATCATTTACCAAACAAATTCTAAGGACAGGTGATTATTTTGGATTTTACTTTATAAGTATACAGTACATATCACCTGGCAAAGTATTTTCTCATCCAGTCTCACAATAACCCTGTCAGCCAGCAAATATTAGTTTTCCCAAATGACAAATAAGGAACTGACACCTTGAAAGGCAACTGGTAAAGTCAGTGCTGGAATTCAAGGGTCCTATCTCACAACGGCGGCCTTTTACCGCGGTACCACATGTCTTCCAAAGCCCATTCTCTGCTTTAAGTCTATATGATCAAGCACTAAAGGTCACTTTAAGAGACTGCATGTGGCAAGGAGAAAACGTTAAGTGAAATAAAATAAAAATACAACTGAGTAATTACTGAGCGCCTGACATCTTTAAGTACAAGGGTTTTAAGGAAAAATGAGACAATAACATGTAAAGGAACCCCGCTCAGGGTCTGGAACACTATCTGATAAACAGGAATTATTACTGGTGACATGAGAGTTACACACACGAAATAATGCAAGGTAATACTCATACTAATTCGAAGTATTCATGGAGTTCCTATTATAAACAAAAACTGCTAGGCACTGCGGAGGATAAAGTTAAGCACCCACTCTCCTGTGATCACTTAGCACTCCGGGCCTGAGAGCTTTACCAGATACTAACAAGTGCTTTAAAAAAAAAAAAAGGGGAAAGGAGTCAAGATAAAAATATGTGGTTAGACGGGGGAATCAGATAAGACTTCTTGGAGGAGGTGGCATTTAAAATGTGCCTTGAGAAATGGATATAATAGAATGATTTTGACCATCTGAGCGGGGTTAACGTGAGCAGGGGGAATTCACAGAACAAGAGCGGGTCCCGGAGTGGGACGTCGCGGTTTGGGGAGCACGCAACACTAAGGTTTGAAAAGTGGGCGGGGGCTGGATTTCTGTGGGCCCTGACTGCCCGGCTGCAGAATCAGGGTAGGCCCACGGGAGTTACTGCAGATTTCAGAGGAGGAGCGTGAGACCAGGAGGCCCACCGAACGCCAGGTGCCCCTACGGGCAGAGAGGGCCAGGCCCAGCCGGGTAGGGCTCGGGAGACGCCGTTCCGTTCCTCGTGCGGGGAAGGGATGGCAGGGAGGCTCGGGTGGGTGTAGGGTAGCCCGGCTTGTGCCGGGAGAGTCTGGGGTCGGGGAAGAATACGCGAGCGTGGGGCGTCTGAAGCGCTGTCGGGCCAGAAGTGCGAGGCCCCGGGACTGGGGTGAGGCCGGGAAGCCCCGCGCTCTCACCTGCGGCTCGCAGCGCTTGGCGCAGTAGGACACGGGCGGTTCTGGTCGCCGCTCCCGCCTCTCCTCGAACACCGAGTCCTCGAACTCGCCACCGAGCAACCAGCAGTCAGACTCCATTGCGCGCCCAGGACAGGCACATCGAGAGGGCCCGCCTAGAGCGGCGCCTACGTACGGGCCGACGCAGAAGGGGCGGGGCCACCAAAGCCCAGAGCGCGGCATGCTGGGACTTGTAGTCCGTAGGCAGGGCCAGCCCGGGACTTGGCCCACGGCAGATTTGGGAGTCGTTGAACTGAGATTTTTTTTATCAGATTCACCACGCCAAGACAGAGCTTGACTTCTCCGTTTCAGGAGATAGATAGAGCGATCCTTACATGCACGCATCACAAAGCACTGGCCTCAGGGTAGCTGTTTAAAACTGATAGGTACCAGTTTTTCACTATTGACGACATTCGTGGCACTACATTAAGCACTTTGTGTGTGTGTGTATTATTCTATATCCTTTTCTAACAACTTATGAAAAGCACAATGATTCCCATTTTGCAAATGAGAAATTGGGGCTGAGAGAGGTTAAGTAGCTTGCTCAGGATCAATTATTTCTTGACTAAGAGCTGGGAAGTAAAGAATTGAGTCAGTATTCCCCCTTGTCTTCTATAAGAGACTCACCGATAATAAAGACCAGGGTACAGTAATTCATGCGTTTGTAAAACAGAGGACTTGGAGATTTACTCTGGGGGTTCAATCGGGGAGCGTTAATTCTGTCTGGAAAAACACTGAATCCCAGAATTCCAACACCAACATTTACTAGAATTCTTATACTTTCAAGATGTTCCTTACTAGAAAGTAGAGATTGTTGGCAAACTACTGGCCAGTGTGCCACAGCACAGTATGACTGTGCCATATTACACAGCAGGTAATAGACAGGAGCATTTCTCAGTTCTAAGTCACATGTTCATGCCCTACCTATGAGTGGGGGAAGGGAGAACCACCATTTATTGAGCATCAGTTTTGTACTTGATTGTGCTTTGGACACCTTATTAATTTTATTTTAGTTAATTCTCACAATCTCTCTCTCTGAACTAAACATTCTTATTCCCATTCAAAGAGCTGAAGGCTCTGGTGCTCTGCCAGTTGGTCAGGAGGGGCTGTGGGGCTGGGAGGTGACAGGGAAGCCAAGTAGACATGTATGTGTAGTCTACAGGATTTGCATCCACTGGGATATTTGCCTTGATCTTGGCTGGGAGCCCCTGAGCACTTCACTCTTGGGGGTGCATCCTGGATACAGGACTGTTCTTGCTACATTCAGAAATTGCAGTCCTCCACACCCCTCCCAGTCTTGGGTCCCTCTCAATTTCCACCTCTACCCCTTAAAGGCATTCCCTCCCAGAACACCAATATATCTTCTTTGACCATAGGTTTTAATCAAAAGTGGGAAGAAAGTTTCTCTTCAAAGAGTTTCTGAAATTGCTTAGAAATACAGACCTTCTGTGAGCAAGAGGAAGCCACAGGACCTTCTTATCCAGCCCTCAAGGATGGATGTCTGAGGTTACCAATTTCCTTCCTGGTCCAAGGGAGATGTTGAGGGGCTTTGAAAAAGCTTGACACTTTTCTAACTACCCACTCCTTAGCTAGGCATCAAAGTCATCTACAACCTGTTGCCAACCTAACCCATACTGTTTTATTATTACTTTTTTAGTGTTTGTTTTACAACTTGATTGGGGTATAATTGATGAACAATTAACTTCACACATTGAAAGTGGTGAGTTTTTACATAAGTGCACACCTGTGAAACCTTCCCCCCTCCCCGTCAAGATGATGAACAGGTGCATCACCCCTGAAAGTTTTATCCCCACCCCCTACTTCCCCATCCCCTTAACTAAATCCATGCTCTCCAGCCAGGCTGGCCCTTTCTGGAATCAGCTTCCCACATTCTCCCCCTGGTCTTTCTCTGTCCTGCATCCTTCCCTGCTTACCAGGTCCCAGCTCACCATTTCCTTTGTAAGGAAAGCCCCTCCCAGTGCCCTCCATCTGGCTGACTCCCCAAAAGCCTTTCCTGATCCCAGTCTGGGCTTCTGGCCCTTGTCTGGGTTTATGTAGCACCACGTGCTTCTCTCTAACAGGGCCCTTCTCATCCCGTATAGCTCTTGTACACACACAGTTTTTGCCCATGCTCACTTGCCCATCATCCCCAGGAAACTGTGAGCTCGTTCTCTGCAGGGACTGGGTCATTCCTGTGTAGCACTGGGCAGGGTCTGGCACCCAGGCCCTCAGTCCATGCTTGTTGAACGGATTCATCATTAGGCTGCACATCCACCAGGGCAACACTTGGTCCACAGTATTCACTTCCTCATTCTGTGCATGACTCAGTGTACCACTCTGTGCCAGGGGCTGAGGATATATCACTTGTGGTCCCTACTCTCAAGGAGCCTAAATTAAAGTGAGTGACAGGTGATAAACATGTACGCAAGCAGATTAATTACAGACTGTGGCAAAATGCTGCGATAGGGAGTAACAAGCCTCAGCAGGTATAAAACATCTTCTACAATGAAATCAGGTTCCTCTCCTTTTCTTACCCAGTTTACTTCTGAGCTCCCTTTCTCAGCTTCCATGGATGTTTGTAAACATTGCTTTTTCTCCTTTTTCATATTTTTTGGTTTCACTTGAGCAAAGCATACCTTTCCATTACTGTCATGAGTTCCAACCCACTAATTCTCAATTATTTATTAATTTATAATAACACACTAAGCTCACTCATTTATTTCCCATATTCTGTAAATCTTTAGAGTTGGTATATTCATTGACTCAACTAAAATGTATTGAGTATGTGCTATAAGCCAAGGACTGTTTTAAGAGTGGGAGATACAATGACAAATAAGACACACAAGATCCTTGCTCTCATGGAACTTAAGTTCCAGTGGATAAATAATAAACAAGGAAATAAATGAACAAGGTAGTTTTAGACCGAGGTTGTGCTACAGAGAAAATCTGAGGGGTTAGGTCTGAGAAAGAGACTCTTTCAGGGAGGGTGGTTCTGAAGAGGTGACCTTTGAACTGAGCCTGGAGTGAAGAGAGGAGCTGGCCAGGAGGACACCTGGAGGTAGCACTGCAGGCAGAAGCAGGAGCATCTGAAAAGCTGCAAGGGAAGAATGAGGAGCGGGAAGCAGGCGTGGTGCTGAGGCCAAGAGAGTGAGGGAGAGCTAGCTGTGTGGCCTGAGACCACAGGGCGGGGAGCCAGGCAGGGAGCACATCACGTGCTCAACACATCAAGTGAATGAACGAATGATCTAATGATCCAGACTTCAAGTTTCTAGCTTCTTGGCTGTATTTTCTTGTGTTTACTGCACCCAGTGCCCACGATGTCGCGTGATTTTCCCGTCACGCCCTTGGTTGTCATATGATCTGACTGTGTAGCTGAGTTTTGGCCTCTCTCCTCTCTCCTGATACAAAACTCAATTTAATGCCCTCTTATTCAGGTCAGCAAGTCTTGAGCCAAACGAAATTTTCTCAGGGCTCGTGGAGTGCACTGCCTCTTGCTGAGATCACTTCATTCCAGTGTCACAGGCTGCTGTCCCAAAGACAAACACTGCCTGCCAACACCAGCTATGTGCACAACCAGCCAGCATTACTTTTTTCTCTCCTGGCTCCCAAACTCACAATATGATTAACGTTTATTGAGTAAAGATATTTTTGAAGACACTGGCTAGGCACTAGAGGCAATGGTTAACAGTGAGAGAGCTCTGGAGGCTGGCCAGGTTTGGCACCACCAACACTTATCAGGTGTGTGACTTTGAACCTCTGTGACGCTCTCTTTCCTTATCCATCAACGGGGGTGATAATAGCATCCACCTCATGGCGTTTGAGATAAATCACATAACTCTCTGAATCCAGTGCTTGACACATAGTACTCAACAAATGTTAGCTTAAAAAAATTTTTTTAATTTGGTTTCTACCTTTCTACCTTTAATTTGGTTTCTACTTCAAAGTGCTGTAAGCTAGTGAAATAGATGTACGTACAGAGCCAATCAAGACCTGTTGGGTAGAAGCGGAGGAACAGTTAGTTCTGACTACACCAGAAAGGCAATGACGGAGGCCTCAAGGGGAGGCAACAATTGTGGTGGTGATGTCAGAAGAAGGACAAGCCAGACAGAAGGAATAACATTCATGTATTATTTCAGTCAAAGCAACTGTGTACCTACTTTGTAAAATATACAGTTAATGAACAAAGAACTGAATATAATGCAAGATAGAAAGCAATAAACTGCTTTAGAGAAAGAGAAAGTGCAAAGGAAGTTTAGAGAAAGAGAGCTTAATTCCACAAAGTTACTTTGTATTTAAAGATAGTCTTAAAAAAAGATAGTATTTTCAGCAAATGGTGCTGGAACAACTGGATAGCCATATGCAAAGAAAAAAAAATTAACCTAGACACAGACTTTACACCCTTCACAAAAATAAACTCAAAATGGATCATAGATATAAATGTAAAGTGCAAAACGACAAAACTCCTAGAAAATAACATGCGGAAAGCCGAGATGATCTTTCGTATGGCAGTGACTTTTTATGTATAACACTAAAGGCACAATTCATGAAAGAAATAATTGATAAGCTGAACTTCTTTAAAATTAAAAACTTCTGCTCTGCAAAAGACAATTTCAAAAGGATGAGAAGACAGGCCATAGCCTGGGTGAAAATATTTGCAAAAGGCAAATATGATAAAGGACTGTTATCCATAACTCTTAAAACTCAGTGAGAAAACAACCAGATTTAAAAAATAGGCCAAAACTTGTGGTTACCAGGGGGGTAGAGGGTGGGAAGAGATAGACTGGGATTTCAAAATTGTAGAATAGATAAACAAGATTACACTGTATAGCACAGGGAAATATACACAAAATGTTATGATAAATCACAGAGAAAAAAATGTGACAATGAGTGTGTATCATGTCCATGAATGACTGAAAAATTGTGCTGAACACTGGAATTTGACACAACATTGTAAAATGATTATAAATCAATAAAAAATGTTAAAAAAAATAGGCCAAAGACCTTAACAGAAATTCCACTAAAGAAGATGTACAGATGGCAAATAAGCAATGAAAAAATGCTCAACACCATATGTCATCGAGGAAATGTACATTAAAACAAACTACACATCTATTAGAATGGC